GTGCTCGCCTGGCATGCATACGGCCAGGGTTCCATCCCAGCACCACATACAAACAAAGATGTTGTGTCTGCCAAATACTAACAAATAAATATTTAAAAAAAAAGAAGTAAAATTATATAGAATGCTGTAGATGATGAGTGCTAAGGCAAAATGAGGGCAAGGTAAGGGGAGTTAGGAATGTTATATTTTGGGGAGGTTTGCAATGTTAAAGGTTGTCAGGAAAGACCTCACTGAGAAGGCAACATTTTTTTATTGTTGTTGTTTTGGGTGCTAGGGATCAAACCCACGCCCTTGCACATGCTAGGCAAATGCTCTACTACTGTCACCCTAGTGGAAGAAAGTGACTTAAGCAAAGCTTTGAAGGTGAAGAATGAACCACATAAAAGGAAGGTGAGGCAGGAGCTTAGCTGGCTCTGGGAGGTAATGCTGGCCTGAGAGGGTGTAGATCCTATGGGGCTGGGGACCTGTGTCCCTTGCAGAAATTATTTTGAGGAGACTTAACAGGGATTTTTGTGAATCCCTGACATGATCTTTTTATTTTTATTTTTATTTTTTCTACATGGGGGACTGAAGCCAAGGGTGCTCTACCACTGAGCTACATCCACAGCCCTTTTTATTCTTTATTTTGAGACAGGGTCCTGGGTTTGTTTTTTGTTTTTTTTTTTTTTTTGGGTACCAGAGATTGAACTCAGGAACACTTTACCACTGAGCCACATCCCAGCCCTACTTCCAGCCCTACTTTGTATTTTATTCAGAGACAGAGTCTCACTGAATTGCTTAGTGCCTGGCTTTTGCTGAGACTGGCTTTGAACACTTACCCTCTGGAGTAGCTGCACCACTATGCTTGGTTCTTGATTTACATTTTTTTTATATTTATTTTTCAGTTTTCAGTGGACACAACATCTTTATTTTATTTTATGTGGTGCTGAGGATCAAACCCAGCTCTCCGTGCATGCCAGGCGAGCACATTACCGCTTGAGCCACATCCCCAGCCCGATTTACATTTTTTAAAATTTTTTTTTTAGTTGTAGATGGACACAATACCTTTGTTTATTTCTCTGTGGTACTGGGATCGAACCCAGTGCCTCACACATGCTAGGCAAGTACTCTACCACTGAGCCACAATCCCCTTGATTTTCATTTTAATTTACTTTTATTTTTAGTAATGAAAATTGAACCCAAGGGTACTTTATGACTGAGCTACATCCCCAGCCCTTTTTATTTTTATTTTATTCATTTATTTTGTGGTACTGGGGATTGAACCCAGGGCCTTGTGCATGCAAGGCAAGCACTCTACCAACTGAGCTATATCTGATGGCCTTGCTAATTTGCTGAGGCTGGCTTTGAACTTGTGATCCTCCTGCCTCAGCCTCCGAGTTGCTGGGATTACAGGTAGTTGCTACCACCACATGCCCAGCTCGACTTACATTTTAAAAGAAAGTTTCTTGGGGATGGGGCTGTAGCTCAGTGGTATTAGGCTTATCTGGCATGCAGGAAGCCCTGGGCTCAATCCCCTGCACCAACCAATCAACAAATGAAAAGATCCCCTAAAAAAAATAAATAAATAAAAATAAAAGGATTGTGCTTACTGCTATCTTAAAGAAAGACTGGGGGTGCTGGGGATGTGGCTTAAGCGGTAGCGCGCTCACCTGGCATGCATGCGGCCCAGGTTCGATCCTCAGCATCACATACCAACAAAGATGTGTCTGCCAAAAAACCTAAAAAAATAAATAAATATTAAAAAATTCTCTCTCTCTCTCTAAAAAAAAGAAAGAGTGGGTTAACCAACTTATACAACTAGGGAGATATTTGTATAAAAGTGTAGATTCTGCCTTCTCTTGAAAATGGAAGACTTGGCTACACTGGACTTACTGGTCCTCATGGGGTGGAGTAATGGCTATCCCCATTCAGGTGAGTCATGGACTCTCCCTTTGACAGAGCCTCATCCAAACAGTGAAACAGAGTGTTAGTAACTATTTATCATTAATCTTGCACTGTTATTCTTACAATAAGGGAGAAAATGAACTGGTTTTTGGCAGCTGCATTTCCATGAAGAAGGAAGAAAATTAAAGATACCCGAACATGGGCTGGGGTTATGGCTTAGTGGCAGAGTGTTTTCCTCGCACATGTGAGGTGCTGGGTTCGATCCTCAGCACCACATAAAAATAAATAAACAAAATAAAGATATTGTATCCATCTATAACTAAAAAATTATATATATTTAAAAAAAGATATCTGAACATGGCAGTGTGTTTGATGAAAGATGGGAAGATAGAAGAAGAAAAAGAAATATTTCTCTCCTTTTTACTGTAGTATGTGTGTGTGTATGTGTGTGCATGTGTGTGTGTGTGTGTGTGTGTGTGTCTGTGTGTGTGTGAGACAAAGGATTGAACCACTCTGCTTGACCACTGAGCTACATGCCCAGCTTTTAAAATTTTTAATTTTGAGACAGAGTCTTGCTAAGTTGCCCATGCTGACCTCAAATTTGTGATCCTCCTGTCTTGGTCTCCTAAATCACTGGGATTACAGGAATGCACCACCATATTGGCTGCATGAAAGTGAATTTTTTAAAATATGCAAAGAACATGAGTCACATAATAACATAAACTCCTTCACTTATATCACCTGCTTGACCGCTGTAGGCATCTGAGGTTATGATATCCCTTCTGTATTTTATAAAGTGCTGCCACACCCATGAGCTCAAAGGATCCCACCCCTCCTCTTTTGGATACCCTATACAGCCATAGAGTCCTTGAACTTTGTTTTCTTCTCCTCCCTGTTTTGCAAAGAGGGAAATGAAGGCCTAGAAAGGTTAAGTAAAGCCGTTCAAGGCCAGCTGGGAAGTGGTGACAGAATGGGAAACAGGGTTTATTTCAGGCCAATTGCTATGTCTATGAAAAAACCAATGGGTCTTAGATTTTCTGTTACCTTATAACTAAAGGCCCACATGCAGTTCCCAGCACAAGTCCCCAAGCACTATTTAAAGAGGCAAAAGTCAGGTGTGGAGGTATACTTCTATAATGCCCACTACTCTGGAGGCTGAAGCGGGAGGATTGCAAGTTCAAGGCCAGCCTGGGCAATTTAGTGAGACACTGTCTCAAAAAAATAAATAAATAAGTCTGGAGATGGAGGTCACTGGTAGAGAACCCTAAGTTTCAATCCCCAGGACTGCAAAAAAAAAAATTTAAAAAAAAGTAAAAATAAAAATAAATAAAGAGGGGCTGGGGCTGTAGCTCAGTGGCAGAGTGCTTGCCTAGCATATGTGAGGCACTGGGCTTGAACCTTGGCATGGTATAGAAATAAACAAAATAATAAAAGTGTGCTGTGCATCTGCAACTACAAAAACAAATTAAAAATAAATTAATAAAGAGACATAAATGCCTATCTTATTAGAGCAGAACCATAAATAAGTAACTTAGTACAATGTTTAGCACATATTAAGGTTATGGTAGCTGTTAATTTAATAGCTCAGCACAGTGCTTTTTGGTCTTTCAGTTTTCAGTAGTGAACTGTTAATGACTAGATCAATTTAGGATCTAGTGGGGTGATTTTACACCCTATCTTGTTTTCTCCCTCCCCAGATATTTGGCAATGTCTGGAGACAATTTGGATTGTCAAAGTATGTGTGGGGTGCCATTGGCATCGGATGGTTGGAGGTCAGCATGCTGATAAGTATCTACCATGCATAGGACAACCCTTGAAATAAAGAATTATCTATGTAAAAGCCAAGCCATGACCTGACTCTGTCCCCACCTTCGGCGACCCTCGCTTTCTGAAGTCCCCCAATAGCTTCTGTTGTCCCCCTTCTGATCTCAGACCCCCGTTATCTCCAGAATTCCACTTATTCCTGGCAATCCCAGTGCCTTGACAGTCCCTGCAGACCCTACTCCCTAATGCTTTATTGTCTCAGTTCTGTAATTTACCCAGGAACTTGCATCCCATCGCTGTTCTTTGATATCTCCTCTAAGAGTCCCATCTCATCAGTCTTACAGGTGATCCATTAAAAAATATTATTATCCAGCTCCAAATGTCAATAGCATTAAAGCCGAAAAACCTGCTTTCCTAATAAAGATGATAAAATCCCCCCCACCTTTTTGTGTGTGTGTGTGTGTGTCAGAGATTGAATCCAGGGCCCTGTAACTACTGAACCATATCCCTAGCCATTTTTTATTTTGAGATAGGATCTCACTAAGTTGCTGAAGTTGACATCTAACTTGCAATCCCCCTGCCTCAATCTCCCTAGTTGCTGTGTTTATAGGCGTGCACCACCAGCTCAACTTCAAATTTCTTTTTTAAAGACTCCTCAGTCATCTGGAGTGATTGTATCAGGGTGGGCAAGCTTTGGAATTAGAAAGGCTGGGTTCTGCCACTTTGTTACAGTGCTTCTTGTGCATAGTAGGCAATTAAAAAAAAAAAAAATCTGTACAATTACCAGGGATGGGTGGCGCATGTCTGTAATCCCAGGTACTTGGATGGGTATACTTTTAACCCCAGCTACTTGGGAGGCTGAGGCAGGAGGATTGCAAATTCAAGGACAATTGCATGCCCAGAGCAATTTAGGGAAACTCTCAGCTCCAAACAAAATTAAAAGACGGCAGGGGTGGGGTGGGGGGAGGGCAGTTCAGTGATAAAGGGCTTGCCTAGCAAGGGCGGGGCTTTGCGAAGCTATTGCACAGTTCTTGGCCCACAGAAGTCCCTTGAGAAATATTAGTTTACTTTCTTTTTCTTGTCATTTTTTTCCCTCCTTGTAATCCAGGATCAGCCTATGCACTAGCTGAGTGACCTTGTACAAGTCACTTTTCTTCTGTGGGCCTTGATTTATTCTTTGTAAAATTAGAAAGTTGGCCTCTGCTCTCCAAGCGCGCTCCCATAGAAGAAATGGGACTGTGCACTTTACCGAGCTGCTTTCCTCCCCCGGGACTGATGGTACGGTCCCCGGGCAGCTCCCTCACCCCTCCGTCGCAGACCTTGGTACAGGCCCAGGGGGCCCGAGGCGGCCTCTCTGGGCTGCCCTTGCCCCCTGCAGAGTTCCGGGCCCGACCTTGCGCTAGCTGATTGGCTGGAGCCGTGCCCGGGCTGCGCGGCTATAGGTGAGCCGAGGAGGGGACGGGCGGGGCGGGCTAGAGAACCGCCCCTCCTCCTGGTCGGACGCCGTGCGGAGCCGCGGGAGGGAGGGCTGACGGACCGACTGACGGGAGGGACAGGAGGCAGCAAGATGGCGCAGACTCAGGGCACCAGGAGGAAAGTCTGTTACTACTACGACGGTGAGCATCGTCCTGGCGGCGGGGGCGGGGGCGGGGCCTGGCCGGCGGGACCGGGGATCCCAGGCTGAGGAGATCCGAGAGGGGAGGCTGGGCGTTGGAGAAGGGCTGAGGGAGAGGCTGAGAAGAAAGGAGGTCGAGGCTGAGGGAGGAGGCTGAGAAGGAAGTCGAGGCTGAGAGAGGAGGCCGAGGCCGAGGGGGGCGGTGCGGGGGAAGCGGGAGGTAACTTGGTGCGAGATTCCGAAGGAGTTTGATGTGGAGAGTTTGGGCGGGACTCCCGGAGGGGGAGGCTCAGTCCGAGGGGGGAGACGGAGTCTGATGGAGACGGTTGCAAGGATATATTTTCCTACCGAGAATTCAAAGATCTTTCGCTGTCCCGATCCTTGCTCATGGTTTTTTGGTGAGAGTCCTGCAGCTCGGGTCACTTGCTTCCCCTCCCCCAGCCTCTGAGCCGGGCCTGCAGTCCTGCTGGGAAGTGGGGCCCCAGGGGTTGGAAGGAGAAGGATGCACCCTGTTAAAACAGACTTTTCATTGAACAAAAATCTATGGAGCAGCTCATTCTGTTCTAGTTAAGTGTTTGGGCGCTGGGGCCGGGGCGCGATGGTGGGGGGGCGGTCATCAAGTCACTTCCCATCTTCAGCTCAGTCTAAAGGGGGAGCTAGACAGTGTTGAAGGGTCACCCCATTATGGTGCTGGGTGAGGGAGGTCTCAAGAGTGTTGGGGAGCAGAGAGAAGAGGCACCCCACGCCGCTTGAGGGGTCAGGGAAGGAGGTGGCAACTCACTTAGGACCTGAAGAATAAAAGTTTAGCCAGGTATAGGGAAGGCAAGGTTGGAGGCAAGCAGAAGACAGTACCTTTGAAAAACAGAAGGCATTTAAACAGTATGGCTGATGCATAGCGAAGAAGGTGGGGAGCAGGGCAGGTCAGAGGGAGGAACTGTAAGTGAGGAGGCTTGAGAAATAAATAGGGACCGGATTGTGAAGGGCTGGGCATGCAATCCGGAGAAAGTTGGACTTTATTCTGAGGACACTTGTGAATCATTAAAGTCCTGAGGGCTATATGTTAGAAATATCTCTGGGTCAGAAATTATTGAATGTACGGGTAAAATAGGAAGGCTTGGTTCACAAGTTTCTGGTATGGGCAATTTGATAATAGATTTTTGCCAAGAACCATGTCAGTTAATAACTTTGGATTTTATTTTTATTTTTTAGAAGTGACTATGTGGTGCACATGCCTGTAATTCCAACAGTTTGGGAGGTTGAGGCAGGAGGATTGCAAATTGAGACTAGCCTGGGAATCATAGTGAGACCCTGTCTCAAAATTAAAAAAGGGCACGGGATGTAGCTTAGTGTAGAGCACTTGCATTCCATGTGCAAGGAACTGGTTCTAGTCTAGTGCTGCAAAACAACAACAAAACTATTGAGGTATTTAAGGGACATCCAACTAGAGGCTATCCAGTAAGCAGGTGACCATTTACATCTGCTATGTAAAAGACAGAAATGAGAAGATAGAAGCTTTTGGTAGATGTTAGTATAGAGAGTAATCTTAGTTATTTAGAAGGGGATGTAGTCACTCAGGAAATTGTATAGGATGAAAAGGATCCAGGGTGAAATTCTAATGGACTGGACTGAGAAACAGTCTAGTGGTCCTCATGGTCTGTACTCCCCGTAGGTACTTCTGACTATGTATCCACATTGCCCATTTGAGCTGGGCAGGGTGGTGCATGCCTATAATCCCAGTGACTTGGGAGACTGAGATAGGAGGATCATAAGTTTGAGACCAGCCTCAGCAACTTAGATCCCGTATTAAAAGAGACTGGGGATATAGCTCAGTGGTAGAGTGCTTGAGTTCAATCCCCATACCACCAAAGAAAGAAAAATGAATCGCCTGTTTGCTTGTCACATTTCTTGTAGTCAGTAAGCTCTCTTGGGAAAGGATTGTGCCTTGTCTACTTCCCTAGCCCCCCAAACATTGTGTAGATCACAGTAGACTCAATAAATAATACTTGTTGATTAAATGAAGAAAGGATACAGAGATATGGATTTTGGTAGATTCAGGAATGGATAGGTGAAAAAGAGTCATTAGATTGAGACCCCCCCCCCCCTTTTTGCTGTACTGGATATTGAATCAGGGCCTTATATAGGCAAGTCTTTTTGTATTATTTTTCTTTTGTTGCACATGGACACAGTGCCTTTATTTTGTTTATTTATTTTTATGTGGTGCTGAGGTTTGAACCCATGTTAGGCAAGCACTCTACCACTGAGCCATATCCCCAGACCTTGTTTTTATTTTTAAGGTAAGTGTTCTGAGGCTGAAAACTTTCTTCTTTTCATACTGGGATAGAATCCAGGAGCATTCTATCACTGAGTTACCTCCCTACCTCTTTTTATTTCATTTTATTTTAAGACTGGTTCAAGGGCTGGAGTTGTGGCTCAGTGGTAGAGCACTTGCCTAGCACGTGCAAGGCCCTGGGTTTGATCCTCAGCACCATCTAAAAATAAATAAATAAAATAAAGGTATTGTGTCCAACTACAACTAAAAAATAAATATTAAAAAAAAAAAGACTGGTTCAAAGTAAAATTGCCCAGGCTGGCCTCAAACTTGTAAATCTCCTGCTTCAGTCTTCTGGGTCACTGGGGTTTCAGGTGCGTACCACCTCTTGCTGGTCAAGGCTGAAAACTTTTAAAGGGAAGCTTGTGTGAGGCAAGGAGAGGGTTGTTGACAAAGGGGAGATGTAGTAACTAAGAGCTGGATATATTCAAATTCTTATAGAAAACAGCCAGAAGAGAGGGAGAAGTTGAAGATACAGGAAAGGGACTGGTAGTGATGGAGATTCCTGAGGAGACCAGGTGAGAAGGAAACCAGAGCCCAGGTAGGGACACTAGCCTTCAAGAAGTTCCTTTGTGATGAGAGGGTAAGTGGCCAGGAAAAGTTAAATGTAGGTAAGTTTGAAGGAGAGAAGATGAAGAGAAAGTTGAGGAGTTCTCAAGCTGGAGGAAGAGAATATCCTTTCTTTGAGAGTGGGGGAGGGTGATTGCTACAGTAGGAGTCTTAAAGAGAGGAGATTTAATTAACTGTTTTGAAAGAAAGAACCAGGGAAATAAATTTGGAAGGACTGCTGAGCAGTAGAGGAACCATTTGAAGCTGGAACCTATGATTCTGTAGCTATATCATTTTGCATAGTTTTATGGTCTTGATATTCTCAGTTTAAAAGAAGAAAAGTCTTCAGAAAGGGGACTGAACTTGAGAAACTCAAGAGTTTTGCAGTGTGGTCTTTTGGTTGGGACTCAGATTTCTTTGACTCTGCCACTCAGAAGTTTTGCAATATTGGACAAGTCACTTTACCTTTCAGGTTACTTTCCTGTAAAATGAAAATGTTAGTTTTCATTTTAGGAACAGTGATAGCAAAGCTCTTTAAAACATAGGTTATCTATCTATCTATTTGAGGTACCTGAACTGAACTCAGGGTCACATGACCACTGAGCCACATCCCTAGCCCTATTATTCAGAGATAGCATCTCACTGAGTTGCTTAGCACCTGGCTTTTGCTGAGGCTGTTTTTAACTTGTGATCCTCCTGCCTCAGCCTCCTGAGCTGCTGGAATTACAGGTGTGCTCCACCATGCCCAGCTTTTTGAAGTAGTGAGCTGGAGGTAGAGTACAGTGGTAGAGTACTTACTTGCCTAGTAGAGCTGCATGCAAGAGGCCCTGGCTTCTATCCCGACACCAGCCCCTCCTCCCCTCCCAAAATTGTTTAAAGTAGTATGTAAATAAAAATAATTATTTCTTTAAAAGTCTCAGGAACTTGATTAAAAACTGTTAAAAAAAGATGGTGTCTCTGGGCACCACCCTCAAGTACTCATTTAGATATGGTTCTCCAGGTCTGGGCCTTGGCTGGATTTAGGCTTGATAGGTGAAAGAGTTGCTAGGAACCAAGGCCCCTGGGTACTGAAAGCTCTGCCTCATCCCAAAGGCCATCTAATTAGAGATCTTTGAATGTAAAGTTCACTCAATTTTGGAGCATTGTATTGTTCAAGGAACTTTCTACCTATAGGACCCTTTAGATTAGATACCTGGGAAACCCAGTGTAGCTTTTTTCATACTGAATTTGGAGTCAGAGAGTTGACTTCCAGATCCCTCATTACCTGTGTGTTTTTGGGCAGGCACTTAAATTCTTTCTTTCTTTCTTTCTTTAAAATTTTTAGTTGTAGTTGGACATAATACCTTTAATTTATTTATTTATTTTTATGTGTTGCTGAGGATCGAACCCAAGGCTTTGCACATGCTAAGCCGGCACTCTACCACTGAGCCACAACCCCAGCCCTAGGCACTTAATTTTTTTGAGTCTCAATTCAGTGCATTTAATTTTTTTGTGGTACTGGGGATTGAATCCTGGGGGCGGGATTCCACCACTGAGCCATACTCTTAGTCCTTTTCATTTTGAGACAGGGTCTCATGACTAGGCTGGCCTTTCATGATCCTCCTGCCTCCCAAGTAGCTGGGATCATAGGCATGTGTCATCATCCCTGGCTTTACTTTTTATCCTGTAGGGGATGGGGAGCCATTAAGGATTTTGAGTATGAGAGTGGTGTTATTAGAACTTTGGATTAGAAAGATAACTCTGGTGACAGTGTAGTAGATGGTCTGGACTGAAAATAGAGTTAGATAGTTTGGACGGAACGTAGAGGGACCAATTAGAAGGCAATAAGGGTTTTCTCTATAAAGCAGGAAGGATACTCCACATCCTACTTATAAGAATCCAGTGAGAAAGTAAAATGAATGTGCTTTGACACTATAAAGTGTCACAATATAAGAGGTGCATTGTGGCTTATAATAATTCTAAGTAGTGATGGTTAATTTTCTGTTATAGGAGGGAATTCCTTAGAGTCGAGAAGTGAGTTGCTGCACTGGCTGCCGTTCCCCAGTAGCTTTAGAATGAACTCTAGTGCTAATGGGTTCCAGAAGAAGAAAGCGGGCTAGATTCATTTTTAAGTGCTGACCTTACCAGGGTCCCCTGCTTTTTGTTTTGTTTCTTTTTGAATTCCCCTTCCTCAAGGTGGCAGAGAATCTTGGAAACTAGAAATGAACCAGAAAGAGAGTTTGAGAGTTTGCTGTAAAAATTCCTGGCTTTTCCTCCTGGGAGTGTGTGTATGTGTTTTACTGAAGTTGTCACTCTTCTTCAGGGGATGTTGGAAATTACTATTATGGACAAGGCCATCCAATGAAGCCTCACCGAATCCGCATGACTCACAATTTGCTGCTCAACTATGGTCTCTACCGAAAAATGGAAATTTATGTGAGTTCCTGGGAGCACTATCCCTGTCTAACCTTGGCTCTGATTCTCATATGTCATTGATTATCTCATTTTCTCAACTACTCATTCATTTGTTAATAAAAGTGTTGAGTAACTATTATGTAGCAGGTATTGTACATGATAGAAATTCTGGTTTTTGAGATATTTTCTCCAGTTCTGAGATCTACATGTAAACAAATAAACTGTGTATGTACCACAGTTAAAGAACATAGAAGATGCAGAAATAATGGGGAATGAAGGAAGAAGGGAGCCATGGAATGTTTCCTAGAGGTGATATCTAAACAGGGTTTTATTTTATTTTTTGTCTATCTATCTTTTTGGCACTGGAGATTGAACCCAGGGATGCTTTACCACTGAGCTTCATCCCTAGTCCTTTTTTTGGGGGGGGGGCTGACCTTGAACTTGCGATCCTCTTGTCTCAACATCCCACCTCTTGTCTCAGCATCCCAAGCTGTGGGCCTATGCAGGGTTTTAACGATTTATTTATAAAGTTTAGCTTAGAAGGGACCAACTTTCTGGCCAAGGGAAAAACAAAGGCAAAGAGGCAAAAGTAAGGAAAATACAATGTTTGGGGAAAATATAAGTAGATCAGTAAGCAGGTACCCAGTGTGAGTTAATGGTGTGAGTAATGGGAGATAGAGCTGGAGAGGTCAGCAAGGGTTGGATGGGCTGTACTAAGAAACTCTGGAGGGTCAGGGCCAAAAAAATTCGATGCTTTGTTGTTGTTTTACTTTGTTTTTGTTGTACTGGGGAATGAACTCAGGAGCATTCTACTACTGAGCTTTACTGAGTCCTTTATATTTTATTTTGAGACAAGGTCTCACTAAGTTGTGCAGGTTGACATCCAACTTGCAATCCTACCTCAATGTCTCAAGTTGCTGGAGTTACAAGCATAGGTTACTGAGCCTGGCTCAAAAGAAAAGATTAAGACTATGTAGAACTAGATGCCAGATCTCTAGTTGCCACAGAGTGTAGAGTCTTACCAACTTCGAGACTACTTCTTCAGCTATTTTTTGCTTGATTTTCCAGTTTTTAAAGAGAATCTAGAAATCTTGCTCATAAAATCTGCCAGATTTAAAATGGTGAATGAAGGTTTTTGTTTTTTAACATGTGTGTGACAAAACATCAGTACATTTGTGGATCAAATTAAACAGTTCCCAGTTTAACCTCTTCTAGAGGCAAATAGGAACAAGTAAAGTGTTTTAAAATAACAGGAACATGCATGCCTTTTAGAAGCAGTGAGGCCATTTAGGAAACTGTTGCAAGAGTTCAAATGATAAAATAAAGAGGGTCTGGGGGCCCATGTTGCCTTATGGAATAAGAATGTGTTGTAAAAATCTGTGCCAATAGCTCGAGTAACCTAGCAACAACAGCATCCTTCTTAGCATTCCAGAGACTGGAAGGAGATGAGTCTTCTGTCCCAGAGGGCCTTGTCATAGCTCTGGAGCCAACAGAGGCACCTAGAGAAGCAAGGAGGAAAATAGAGGAGTCAGTAGGCCTTGGGACCAGTGATCTTTCTTAAGCTTGAAGGGCAGCTGGGAGTGAAAAGCATAGTTTTCAGGGATATCCTGTCCTTTTTTGCTAAAGAAAACCCTTCCCAGAAGTTTCCCAGTAGACTTCCCCTTAAATTTTTTGGGTTATTTGCCAACTTCAGACCATCACCAGTGTAAATGTATAGGATTACTAGAACTGGCTTAGACTGATTATGATTTGATCTCTATGACTGGGTTTATCAACACCCAGCCAAATTGGGATTGGCTTTTGGGAAGGCAACCAAGAATGACTGCCATTGGAGTTAATACTTTACTGGCGATGACTTCATCTGTGTGGTGTTCTTATTGTTAACTCATAAAACAAAACCCCAGTATCATCTCTCCTCAAATCTCTAGACCTTGTTCTACTTAATATGACCTTTTTCCTCCTCTGGTGTTGCTTCATTGAGTGTGAATCTTCGATTTTCTCTATCCCTTCTGTCCTTTCTCTGCAATGTGACCTTTGCATCCCTTTCTCAAAGCACAGGTATCCATTTTAGTATCTGTCCTGAGATTGATGGCTTTTGGGCATCATTCCTGAAAGAAGCTCCTTAGATTTCCCATAGAAGTTGCTATAGTAGCTAGCACTGTGATGTGTACACCTGTAACCCCAGCAATTTAGAGGCTGAGGCAGGAGGATCAAGAGTTTAAGACCAGCCTCAGTAATTTAGTGAGCCCCTCAGCAACTTAACAAGACCCTGTCTCAAAATAAAAAAGGACTGGGGATGTAACTCAGTGGTGAAGTGCTCTTGGGTTCAATCCCCAATCTGCTGCCCCCGCCCCACCCCCCAAAAAAAGAAAGAAATGGATGAAGTACTTCTGTTCTGTACCTGAAGGAGTCATGAGTCTTTTTCATATAATTTTACTCTTTCTGGTGCCTTCCTTTATCCTGTCTCCACACATGTAATTAATTTCTCCTGGGATCTCCATCCTTATCAGTTACCTTCCTGTTTACATAATCAAGTTTTTTTTTTTCCCTGTGTTGGAATACTAATTTTGAGTATTTTCAGGTTTCTTATTTGTTGCCCTCTGTGTCCCCTCCCAGGGCTGAGGCTGAGGACCAAACCTAGGACCTTGCATGTGCTAGGCAAGTGCTCTGCCACTGAGCTAAATCCCCAACTCCTGCCCTCTGTTCTGAGTGTGTGTGTGTGTGTGTGTGTGTGTGTGTGTGTGTGTGTATGTGTGTATGTGAGTGATGCTGGGCTTCCCACATGCTAGGCAAGCATTACCATTGAGCTACATCCCCATTATCCCTTGTTCTTTTTTTATTTTTTAAGTTTGTTTATTTATATTTATTTATTTTTGTTTTTTATTTTGGTACTGGAGACTGAACCCAGGGGAACTTTACCACTGAGTTACATCCCCAGACCTTTATATTTTCTCTTTTGAAACAAGGTTTTACTAAGTTGCTTAGGGCCTCACTAAATTGCTGAAGCTGCCTTGAACCTGCAGTCTTCTTGCCCCAGCCTCCTGAGTTGCTGGGATTAAAGGCGTATAGCACCATGCCCCGCTTTCTGGTTCTTTTTTAAAAATTGTTTTCAGCTGAGCATGGTGACACATGCCTATAATTCCATTGACTTGGGAGGCTGAGACAGGAAGATCAAAAATTTGAGGTCAGCCTGAGCAAATTAGTGAGACCCTGTCCCAAAATAAAAAATAAAAGGTTTGGGATGTAGTTCAGTGATGAAAGCCCTTGTGTTTTATCTCCAGTACCCATCCCCTACAAAAAATTTTATCATTAAATGTTTAGTTATTATTAAAGAATTTTTGTGAAACATATGTAAAGTATAAAGAATCACAGTTAATACCACCTACCATAAGAAAAAGAACATTTCTGCTATTGCTGAAACCCTTTGTGTGCCCTTTACTGATCTTTTTTCTCTCACAGAGTTTGTTCTGTCCTGAATTTGGGGATATTATTTCCTTCCTTTTCTTTATAATATTATCAATATGTGTTCTTAAACAGTGCATGTTTTAGTTATACACATTTGTTATATGAATGGAGCCACATAATACCTATGTATGACCTCTTGTATGCTAGGCAAGTGTTGTATGACTGAGCTACATCCCAGCTCTTTTCATTTTTTTATTTTGAGAGAGGTCTTGCTAAGTTGCTCTGTTGGTCTTTAGCTTGGTGATCCTTCTGCCTTATTCTTCTGAGAAGCTGGAGTTGTAGGTGTATGCCACTGTGTCCAGTGCCATACTGTATAGGAATTATATGACTGGCTCTTTTGCTCAACAAGTTCTTGAGTCCTTCATGTTGATGCATGTAGCTATATTTGATTTTATTGTATTCTGTTGAAGTAATGTACTATAATTTGTTTTATTACTAGTGAGCATTTGATTTGTTTCTGGTTTTTTACTTTTATAAATACTGATATTGTGAACATTCTGAACATCTCTTAGAGCACTTATACTAAGAGTTTCACTAGGGGATACAACAAGGAGTGGAATTGCTGGGTTAGGGTGTATGTACATGCTCACCGGTATAAGATAAAGCCAAAATGATCTCCAGTTGCCCACAGCATACAATTACAGCTGCTCTAAGTCCCTGCCTATATACTTGATTTTGATAGATTCCATTTTTCTTGCCCAATTTAGGTAGATGTCAAATGCTATCTTTCTGTTGTTTTAATTCGCATTTCCTTTTGAAATACCTGTTCAAGGGCTGGGGATGTGGCTCAAGCGGTAGCGCGCTAGCCTGGCATGCGTGCGGCCCGGGTTCGATCCTCAGCACCACATGCCAACAAAGATGTTGTGTCCGCCGAGAACTAAAAAAAATAAATATTAAAAAATTCTCTCTCTCTCTCCCTTCTCTCACTCTCTCTTTAAAAAAAAAAGAAATACCTGTTCAAACCTTTCCTTCATTTTTCTATTTGGTTCTCTCTCTCTCTCTCTTTTTTTTAATACCAGGGATTTAACCTTGGCCTGCTTTACTGCTTAGCCACATCCCCAGCACTTTTTACTTTTGAGACAGTATCTCCCTAAGTTGCTTAAGGCCTCACTAAGTTCCTGAGGCTGGCCTTGAACTTATGATCCTCCTGCCTCAGCTCCTGAGTCACTGGGATTATAGGCATGTGCCACTATGCCCTACTGGTTGTCTTTTTTTTTTTTTTTTTAATTATACCACAAATACACAGAATTTGGTTAATTATGATCCTTGGCTCATCAGCATCATTGGTCCATGCCTAGTTGTCTTTTTTTTTTTTTTTAATATATATTAGTGATGGACACAATATCTTCTTTTTTATTTTTTAAATTTTTTTAGTTGTATATGGACATAATACCTTTGTTTATTTATTTCTTTATTTTTATATGGTGCTGAGGATGCAACCCAGGGCCTTGCATGTGCTAGGCGAGTACTCTGCCACTGAGCCACAACCCCAGCCCCACAGTATCTTTATTTAACTTATTTATATGTTGTGCTAAGGATTGAACCCAGTGCCTCAC